TGGTAAGTTTTAAGTTTTTAGACAGATGCCTTTACTAGCACAAACCTCTCAGTATATCTGCCTGTCCAGTTTGAAATAGTTTAAATGTTTGGTATTTTTCTCTGTGGATGGGAGTTTGAAACACACACTTGTTTCATTGATTCTGGAAAGTTTCTGGTTGAAGACTGTGACCTAGTACATGGTTTTAAGCATAATTTTTTCTTTTAAGAATGCAGTTGAGGGTTAAGTTTCTTCCTGAAACATCTTTCTTTTCTGGGCCATCAGCTTATGTTCTTAATTTGGAGTCTTGAACATAGATTGAGGATATATTTTGCCTTTTTATGAGTAATTATGCTGGAAGACAACATCATGTCTATAGGAATGTTCGTGCAGAGTTTATAGGGATGGGAATTAGGGGTCTGTGATCCCTCCCTTTTATTCACTGTACACAGATGATAGCCCAGAGAGAATCCCTTGGTAATTACTAATAAAACCACTAATAAAACCATACTAATAAAAGGCTTGGATAAAACTTTTTTAAATTCATCATCTCTAGTTTCCCATGCTGTTCCTAGACACATTGCAGTCTCTGCTTCATTTCTCCTTGTCCCCCTGACGACCAGAAGTCAGCAGAGACCTCATCACCTCCACTGATGCAGATGGAGAGGAAAATGGGAAAAGGGGCTTGTTCTGGCTCTGAGGCTGGCAGGGCAGCTGCTGCCTGGTCTTGGATTGGGCTATATTGTGACTACCTCCACCCTCTGCTAAGCGTGCAGCTGGGAGCCTTTGCATAGTAGCCTCCTCCCAAGAAGTGTTGTGGTTTTATGAAGTAATAGATGACTTCAAAAAAATTAAAAGTTCTCTTTGGTTGCTTCCAAGCCCAGGAATTGCTTAGCTCAAAGGATTGTTTTTGGAATGTGAAGCCTTTCTTGCCAAATCATATACTCCAAATCACAGCTAATTTTTTTGTTTTCCATGCAAAGACTGGTGTTTTGTTAGTTGCTTGGTTAACTGGAAGATAGGTTTATTAACCCTTTCAGTATAGAGAGCTCTTAGATTGAACTGAATTCAGCTATGACATAATGAGATGCAACTGAAGGTATGTGTGTAGAGGCCTCGTCTGAACCCTTCATCATCCATCCATCCTTTCATTCCTCTTTCCACCCATGCATCCAGCCACCCTCCTTCCACCCTTCCTTCTTTCTACCCATCCATCCATCCATCCATCCATCCATCCATCCATCCATCCATCCATCCATCCATCCATCCATCCATTCATCTATCTATCATGTGTGCATATAGGGTGGCATTAGGTACATAGAAGCTGTGAACTAGCTACTCAGGACTGATAGTGAAAACACTGACATTTTTGAAATTGTGCACAAAATTGTTTGGAAGGACTTCTGTTTGTCTTTTCTTCTATAAACTATGCCAGCAGTTTCCACTCTGATCACCACAGAAAGTCAAAGCCCATCACTCTGCTTGGCCTGGGAGCCTCAGGATGGTGATTATGGCAGAGTGGTGGGGGGACATTCAGTGTAGGGCTAGATGCCTCATGCGATTTTGGGATATGGCCTTGTTTAATCCTGTTTCTGCAACCTTAGCACGTGGCTTTTGTGTGTCACCTTGCACTCCTGAGCCACCATGAATCCAGTGAGATGAGGTTTGCTAGGAGCACTGCTGAGTGCTCTGGAGGGATGTAAAGGACAGTCACTGTGCCCTGATGCAGGTCCAGTGGTAACAAGAATAGAATTGTTTTGGGAAGTAGAAGGTCCCGGATGGAATGGTGCTGGAAGGGTAAGAAAGGGAGAGAAAGATTTTTATTTAGTACTGGGTTAAAAATCCATCCCCTTGACCATTCTGGAATTTGAGGCCAAAGTACTTGTGAGCATGTCAACTAAGGGAATAATAGTGCAGAAGCCCCCCAGGTAGTCTGATGGCTTCTGGAAGTAAGCGACAGGCTTCTCTTGGCACTCTCCCTCATCTGGTCAGACCCTGCCTCTTTGTCTTTGCAGGCTAATTTCCAGAATTCTCTTTCAAAAGATAGGGAACATTTCTGTCTAATCCTCCAAGACCACTGCATCCTTAAGGATGTCTAGCTCTTGTAATAAGATGTTGTTTCTGGTTTGTCATCTGATGGAAAGTTTGAATTGGGGTCCTGGCTGTGATGGATGAAGCTGGCATAGTCTCAAGAAGCAATGACGCTCCTTGGATGCCTCCTACACGAAGTGTGTCTCTTTCTGGCAAGAGGCCTGAAGTTCTCTTTTAGACATCATGCTTGCTTCCATTGTTCACAGTGGCTGTCTATGTGACTGTGGGCTGAAAGCACTCATTATGCAAGGTCTTTCATGACCTTGTACGAGATAGTAACAGAGCAGTTGTTTTCTGAGTTAGGGAAGATTGTTCAGCTTTGGCTGGAAGCACTGTTTGTTGCTTCAGTGGTTTAGTGGTTTGCTGGTGACTGGCCTTGGATTTCTGGAACCCTTAGCAGAAGGCTGTTTTTTCTCCTTGTCTCTTAGCATGTATTTCCAAAACCACAAAGCACATGGAAATGGGTTTTGGGGGCTGCCTAGAAAATGTACCGGTAGTTTGATTCACAGTGTATAGTGACTATCAGTTTATAGCTGTGTTAAACATATTTATTTACCTTTCAGCTTTGCTTCATTTTGCATTAAACATTAAATAACTATTAAAATGATTGGACATAGCCATCCCTGGTAGCACAATGGGTAAAAACGCAGAACTGCAAGCAGCCGCAGCTGCTTCAGTGCGAGTTCAATCCCCATCCCCGGAGGTGATCCACATGGCACAGCAGATCTCTCCTGACCAGCTCGCTGCTCCCCTCAGCAGTGTACTTCATCAATCTGCATGTTCTGCTCCCCACTCTGTCTCTGGTGAATATTCTCACTGTCCCTGCACCTCTGGCTTATACCCCTCTTCTGTATGCATAAATAAATACATCTTTAAAATAAAATGGTTGGACATTCAGAGAAAAGTTTAGGATAGATAATTTTCTAGTTGTAAACTATCACCTAATGCTTTGGCATGTAGAACAAATAATCACACATCAGTGATGGAGAATGGACTTAGCATTGTCTTTTGATCTGTTATTTCTAATGGGATCACATATCTGAGGTCATACTCAGTTTCCTTGCCATACATTGACCTCTGGACACATATAGTATTGGTAGGAAGTGGGAAGTAGGAGAAACACATAGAATTTGAGACCAGTTGGAAGTTTATAAAATACACTTGGGAATTTTATGGCATTCTAAGAAGATAACACATGTAGACATTAAAGAAGAATAGAACTCTCTGGCACAGCGGGTTAAAGCACAGCACAAAGAAGCTTAAACCACTTCCGCATGAGTTCAATTCCCGCCTACCCTGGAGGTGACCACATGGCGCCGCAGACCTCTCCTGACCCACCCGCTCTCCCCTCAGCAGTGTGCTTTGTCGATCTGCCTGTTCTGTACCCCACTCTGTCTCTGATGAATCCTCTCACCCTCCGCATCTCTGACCTATACCCCAGTTCTGTATGAATAAATAAATAAATCTTAAAAAAAAAAAAAGGAATAGAACTCTAAAAGCAGCCTCAGAGGAGGGACATTGAAGGTAAACTTGATCAACTTATCTAGTTGTTTAACAGCTACTTATTGTTTGCCTGTGATGCTTTGCCTTCTAGTAGATTAGTCAGTGTATCTCTTTTGAAACTTATGCCTAAGTTGTCCTTAAGTTTCCAAAGGTGTCATTGTGTCTATAATACACTTTCTTTTTTGTGTGTGTGATTTCTTGGGGAGATAGTAATCAGAATCAAGGCATGGATAATTATCTTGGTAGAAGGAAACATTTTTTGACAATGCAACCATCTGCTTTATTCTTCCTTTATGATTTTCTGCTTCTTCAGGTACTTGGCAGAAAATGGCCACTTCATAGTTTCATAGATGATCTCACCTCTAATACCATTCATAGGTTAAACGACTCCACTTGGATCCTGATTTAAATTCTTGGGAGGAATGTGATTGGCTCTGTTAGGTCACATGCCTACCTCTGGTCCAATCCAGTGTATAAGATGTCTGGAGTATGGACTTTATCAGCTAAGGGTTCAATCCTGTGTGTGTGTGTGTGTGTGTGTGTGTGTGTGTGTGTGTGTGTGTAGGGAGGTGGTGGGGACAGTTGTAGGATATCAGAGACATACAGCTGACAAGGTCCTTGACTTTGTAGAGCTTACAACCTAACAGAAAGATATTACACAAATGACTGGGGTGGCTGAGTGACAGCCAGACCTAACATAAGTATGAGAGCCTGGAAGACCTCTCCAAGAAAAAGGAGATAGTGCTAACCAATCTGGACAGGGAACCATGGACCCTGAAAGGGAATGAGTAGACAGGAATGAATTTCCTGACAGAGGTGGCAGAGGAATGGAAAACCCAGTGGCAAGAAAAGAAAAAAAAAATAACTCCATCCATAGTGTACAAGAAACACATGTTTAAAAATTTTACTAGAATGGTTCTATTTGCCATTCTATTTGACGTTGGAGGAAGTTCTTTGAGGACAGGGACCATTTTCCTATTGCCTTTGGAACCAGTTGGTGTAGGGAGAATTTTACATGGAAGAATACATTCCAGTTTATCAGATAGTTTCCTGGTGTAGTTTTCCTCCCAAATTGCTGTTCAGCTTGAAATTTTATTATTTGCCTTGAGACATATCCTCTTGCCCTTCATTGAAAATATGGATTGCATAACCTCACAGAGTGTGTTTCCTTCGCAAGCAGGTTAGAAAAGACGAATAAAAGAAAGTAGGGTGATTTTGGAAGGATCAATAATTACCAATTTTTTCTCGATATATTATTGCTTTTATATTATATCCTCCCCTCTGCAGCCCCCCAGCCCCTGAACAGATGTTTTACTGGGTATTGTTGGCTATGGTTTTGTTTTGAAAATTTTGAAACATTATTGAAAGAGGAGAGGGGTAGGGAAAAAAAACCCGTAATTGATTCTAATATATATTTAATTTGGCAGAACTTGAGAGAGACTTGCTGGGATAAGGCGGGACATTTCTTTGATCTCCCAGACTTCTTATCGTGGAAGGCAACAGGTGTCACATCACGGTATGTTAATTACAAGTTGGATTTTATTTGTGCTCATCTATTCTCCACTGTCTGTATATGTAGATTGCTTTTTTGACTCACTATGACTGGAAGTACTGTTTGTACATCTGCATGTGATTTTGCATACTTGAAACATCTTGAATCCATCTTCTCTCTCCACTGCACATACCCAAACACCATTGTTCCTATGAGCTCTGGAATGTGGTATCCAAGGTGAAGACCATTCATTAAAATTGGCCACATTTGATGGAGATGTGAACAGTCCACCATGAAATGTGACTCTTTTTCCACAGGCACTTTTCACGTGGTGAATAAAAGGAAAAGATTTTTCTCTTTGGAAAAGAGATTTTTTTTGAAGGAAGCACATTTTAACTAGATGGGTGTGTTTTGAAGCGATTTTGTTTGTTTGTTTGTTTTGTTTTTGTTCTTTTCTTTCTCTGAGTTATTTCACTAAGCATGATACTTTCCAGGTCCATCCATGTTGCTGCAAAAGGCACAAGTTTATCTTTTTTGATTGCTGAGTAATATTCCATTGGGTATACGTACCACATCTTCTTAATTCAGTCATTTATTTTTGGACATTTGTGGTGATTCCACATTTTCCCTTTTGAAAATAGAGCAGCAATAGCCATGGGGGTGCAGATGTCCTTTTGAATCAGTGTTTTTGTGTTCTTTGGGCATATACCTAAGAGTGGCATTGCACAATTTTGCTTTTTTTTAATTGATGTACTTTAGTCATCATGAAGTATAGGGGTATGTATGCTGAAGTCAACATTTTTCCAATAAATTATAAACTTTAGAAATAAGTATGCTACAGTGAGAGCCAATTTAAAAACTACTCAGTGAGTGTGAACTTACAGCTGCTATAATTATATAATTATAGAGTGAATATGTGCCTGGTATACATAGAGAGAAAGGTTTGACACAAATCTCAAATGATGAAAGTGTGTTGTTATCTTGACTTCTGATTTTGGGAGATGGGTAGGCATGGATGGTCTTATAGTGAAAATGATTTGGAACAAACCTGTGAGGAGGAGAACCATTTTCTAGAGGACAGATAAATGTGAATAAACATACATATATCATATATAAATAAACACATGTAAATCTGTATGAACCTGTGTGTGTGTGTGTATAGATATATATACACATGCATATATATATATATGCATGTGTATATATATCTATACACACACACACATAGGAAGAGAGGGAGATGCATTTTGAAATTCATTCACAGAGAGTTAATTTTCATTTTCTTTCTTACTTAAACTCAGGGGAAGCTGTATATAGGAGCATCATTTTCTCTGTTTTTCCGTCTATCTCATTTTGAGTAATTTGAACTTTTTCTTGTAGAGAGTTGATAAAGAGTGTGACAGTTCAGCTGCCGGTGCTTCCAGGCAGGAGTTAGGAGAAGACAAGGCTCACGGGCCCGTAATTTTTCATGGTATCATCTTCCCCTCCTGCCAATAAAGTACTAGGATAGAGGGGGTCCACATGAGATAAAGGCGACCTCTGCAGACTTTAGGTACTTACCTCTCCCTGGGGGAGAGGTTTTTTGGGGGAGTGGTATTAGCTTTATCACAGAAGCTGCATTAGTCATCCACATACAGTTATCACCAGTGGTGAGGGCAGTATGAGGGTGAAGACCTCATTTTCACCATTCCTCTTTCGGTGTGAAATTAATTTTCTGAAGTTACTTCTAGAAGCAACTTTCTTTTGTTTTGTACCTTTGTCTGTAGTGAAAGAAATGTTTTGATCACTTTAGTAAAATGAACCTGTTAGGCAAGATAATGCTAATTGTGTGGATATCAGCAATACCCACTGGTCTACACAGCCTGAGGACTCAGAGTACAGATGGAGACTGACCTTGCTTCCCATCTCTCTTTCCTTGGGTGCTCTTCAGCCCAGGACATTCTCTTGTTCTTCTGACACTTCCTGAGGTCTGATGGCATATTAAGAGTCCAAAGACTGGGCTTTCAGTAGCTTGTTCTGACTCAGATTTAAATACAATGGCACCTATTACCTCCCATGGAGTCACAGTGTGACTAGCATTCAGCATGACTTTATCACTCTCTTTATCTGGGAAATAGAGGTCATGATACTTACCTTGAAAGTGTGTTGTGAGATTTCTATTAAAGTAATGTTTCTAAACTAAACTGACTGTAAGAATCGATAGAATTATTTATTCAAAGTGAAATTCCCTGGGCTTCTAATTTTAAGGCTACTGAGTCAGAATATCTGTGGGAAATTTGTATGTAAGTAGTACATGAGGTAGCTATACTGCCAGGTGAGTTTGGACAGCATCACCTAACAAGATATACTTGAAGTAGGATGTGACTCTATGGTACTTCTCACTTGGGAGGGATTCATTCCATACATTAAAAGGTTTAATGAGTTTTTGAACTGAATTTGGAGACTTAGTGTTGACTTAAATCAACTTGCTTGGGGACTTTGCCTCTCCTACACCAACAGTCTGAAACTCTGGAGAGGCAGAAAATGGTAATGCTCAGAAATGGTTTATTGGCTCTCTAGTCATCCCTTTCATTTTTTTTTTTTTTAAATTGATTGAGGCACTTATGGCTCATTCTATTTTCATTAGTACGGATGTGTATCCCCTCTTCCCTGCCCTTGCCCATACTCAGCAGCTCCGTAGAGGCCTCATTTTCTTCTAGATGCCCCCATCTAGGACTATGGACCTTGGGCACCAAGGACTGGGCTCTTCTTGCAAGAATGGTTGCCTTCTCCCTGGCATACCTATTTCTTAACATCTGTTGCTTGTGTTTTCCTCAACCTCCCAGTTCTTACTTCTTCTCTGTTTTAACCTGTATGATCAGTGGGGAGCAAGTAACACCTCTAAACTTTCTGGACTGTAGAAAAAGATAATGGTAACACCTGCTTCATGGAGCTATTGTGTGCACTGAGTAAAGTAACGGAAAAACTTCCAACACAGAGCTCAGAATTTTTTTTTTAAGGAATTAGCTTTTTTCTTCTTAAACTTTCTTTTTTTCTATCAGTTTTGGCAGGGAGTTTTGGATTACATTTCTGGCATAGTAGAATGAGGGAAATCCCTGTCATCAGCTTCACCTGGGTTCAGTGCCTCTACTGTGTACTGACTGAAAGAACTGGAGTGAATTCCTTGTCCCCAATGAGCCTCAAGCCCTCCTGGATGTCCTCACAGGGGTATGGAGGGAGTTAGAGATGCTGGGGGTAAAATATGTAGCACTTACTTTTAAAACAATACATGGTTCTTTTAATGAAAAATTCCCATTGTCTGTCACCACTTCCAGAATAAGATGAGGGTCTGAGTTGGAATGTGCCAGTGCCAAAAATACTTTGGGCAGTAGAACATGAACTTGGTTACCTTTCCGCAAATGAGAGGTTCAGATTTGCTGTTTATTTGATTCTTAAATGATGATTATTTTGGGAACCTTTGGGCAAAATGAGTGCCAAAAAGGCTGGAGGATTTTTTTTCTTTCTGTTTCATGTTTTGTTATTCTAGTGGAGTATAGCTAAAAAGTGATCATGTTTCACCTGTCTTAAAGCATTCAGACTTGTTTTTGGCAGTGAGAGCATGTAAGAAGTCTTTTTGTCTTGTCATCTCTCCTTATCTATTCCCTCCCTCCTTCCTTCCCTCTTTTACACCACTCCCTGTTAGTTTTTATTCTCATCTTAAGATAAGGGCCACTCTTATTTCTCTGGATTAATGAGAAAATCACCACCCAGCCCATGATTAACTTTTAACTCAGCCCCATTTTTATTATATTAGTGAAAATATTTTGTTATTAATAGTAACGATATGGAAATAATCATTTATCAAATGCTTTTTTATTTGTCCTAGGTATCTTAACAAATGTGAGCCTATTAATCCTTTTAGGCATGAGTTAAATTAGATGGTGTTACTATCATTTCCCAATTTAAGAAATGAATCGAAATGCTGTAGATATTTGCTACATTTTTTTTTTATTTTTTTGATTTATTTATTCATACAGAACTGGGGTACAGGCCAGAGATGCGGAGGGTGAGAGGATTCACCAGAGACAGAGTGGGGAGCAGAACAGGCAGATCGACGAAGTACACTGCTGAGGGGAGCAGCGGGCGGGTCAGGAGAGGTCTGCCACGCCATGTGGTCACCTCCGGGGCAGGCGGGAATCGAACTCATGCGGAAGCGGCTTTAGATTCTCAGTGCTGTGCTTTAACCCGCTGCGCCACCAGGGAGGGCCGATATTTGCTACATTTTATCAGTTAAGTAGCTGCTCAGAATTTTATTTACATGACAGATAGAAACCATAAATTTGGATAATAAAAACTGATAAAATCTGACAAAAAGATATGCATGTAACTTTTATACATCCTCTCTCTAATGTGACTTGAGTTGGACTGGCAATAAGATAAGATAAAAACTGGTAAAAATATTTAAAAAACTACATTGGAGTGAAAATATTAATAGAATAATTAAAATGAAGTTAAGAGCTTCAGAGAAAATCTTAAGTTCTTTATAATTACTAATCTATATGTTTCCAAGCTTCCTAGTGGCCAGGATTGAAACATAATCAAGATTAACTGAATGAACAGATCAGACCTGTGGAATCTGAAATTTCTACTAGATGATCAAGGATTGGCAGTATTCACTAAATTGTGTAAAAGTATTCTTCTGGGCCCTCCCTGGTGGCGCAGCGGGTTAAAGCACAGCAATAAGAAGCTAAAGTCATTTCAGCATGAATTTGATCCCCGGCCAAGGAGGTGACCCACACGGCGAGGCAGACCTCTCTTGATGTGCCCGCTGCTCCCCTCAGCAGTGTACTTGTCAGTCAGCCTATTCTGCTCCCCACTCTGTCTCTGGTGAATTCTCTCACTGCCCCTGCACCTCTGGCCTGTATCCCAGTTTTGTATGCATAAATAAATAAATCTTTTTTAAAAAAGTATTCTTCCAAGTGAATCCAGATCTATTCAAGGTACACTGGTAGTACCTAAGTGTAAAAAGTGGAGGAGTGAGCTTG